TTACTGACCCTCCCATGGGAGACAGGAAAGGAAAAAAGGCCACAGCTATCATTTTCTGAGTGTAAAATCTTGGGAAGAACCCTGGAGTTACTTCTGACGAGACTGAGGCTGTCTGGGATTCCATGTCTCTGCTTCTTCCTGCCGCCAATTCCCATGGATCAGTGGGGGCTGAAGTGCTCTGAGAGGCTCAGGTGGGAGGAGAGGGATAGTATGTAAGCTGGCCGTGCAGGATGACACAGAGTTGTTGGGAGGATTCATGAGGTAAAACCAAGTCAGCCACAACACAGGTCCCAGCTCTCCAGTGTATGTTTGACACTTTCCTGCACGCGGTGCTGCAGCTGAGGTTTGTTCTTCCATGGTCTGACAGCCACCTGCCTTCCTACCCAACAGACTCCCAGGGAGGAGTGGCTCGTTCCAGGCCCACCACATCTCGGCAGTTTCAGATGATACAGAATGATACAACACTGTTTTTCCCACTGTTCAGAAAAAGTCTGGACATTCCATGGTCTCCAGAGAGAGAAAAATGGCAGATGCATTTAGCTCTAATCCCTCAATTATGCGCTCCAAGTCACACCGCACTCCTGTCAATCTTCCCGGACAGACAGGTTTCTGTGGGTTTGACTGTGCTGGCTATCAGGAGGCTGGGGGTGCCCCGGCATGCACTGGTTCAGTACACAACATCCACAAGTCCACACATAGAGAAACTCTCCACCTATAATACTATTATCACTAAAGGGAATTTTTTTTGTACATGAAAATTATATGAGATAATTCACAAACATTTTTGCAATTTATAGTATCTTTTTACGTTTCCTTCTCAAAATGATTTCAATTGTATCCTGTCTTGAGTATATTTAAAAAAAATAATTGTTTTTTTAAAACTTTTTACTGTGAATTGTATGATAGTCTAAGATACTATTTTAAAAGCACATCTCTGGTACTCCCTTCCATCAACATACTGCACTAGGTGATGTGTTGCTACTTAATGTGTGTAACCTGCAGACTCAGGAGAGACCCACCATTGTTGGGAGAGCTTGCGTCTGAGACCCCACTATTTAAGAAAAGAGTCTCCGTTGCCTCCAAGCTGCCACACACGTGGCTAGCTTCAACCCCCACCTCAAAAAAAAAAAACAAACCGCACACACACAACTTGGTCTTCTTCCTGCTAGGCAAGATGAGAAGCAAACATTTGCTCTGGGTTGTGAATTACCGAAGTTACTGGTTAACCAGCAAACCCTCATTCCAGAGTGACTGAGGCCAGCACCTGCCACTAAGTAACTTGAGACTTTGTTTTAAAATAATTGTTTATACACCAAAGCCTACACTGGATTTTGGAAGAAACAGAAAACTGAGAGCTGAAAAACAAGTGATGCAAACTCCCAGGGACTCACAACTGGAATTGGGCAGTGCTCGTCTGGTCAAACATCTGGAAACATGTGGAGATGGGAGAATGGCTGGACACACTTGTGCTCCAGCTACCCTTAACACTTAACAAGTTCTTAAATAGGGACCGGGAAAGTAAAGGGTTTTTATGAAAGTTGTATGTTTAGATTTTTTGTTCCTCCATTTCTGCCCACAACAGTTTTGAAAACAAATCCTTAAGTTTCTGGCCTGCTGATCCTTATCCCTCGACTCTCCTACACAAATGGGGGCACACCCCAATCAATTAAAGCCACAGCTTTGTTCTTTGGCTGCACGTTGTGACGTCACAGGAAAATAATGTGGAACCAGAGGAGCTGGGCTTGAGCTCTAACTTCCTGAGCCCATTCTTTTTCTGGTGAAATGTGTATCTAATAATACTTGCTTTAAAGGACTGGGTAAAGATTAAAGGAGATAATGTACACTGGGGTACTTTGTAAGCTGAAAAGGACTAGACAAATGTCACTCCTCCTTTCACTGAAAAAAATGAGCCAAAATCCTCCTGCTTTGTTGACTGTTGAGTATTTCATCAAACTTACAGTTTCCACAAACCATTAGTATTTTACTCCCTACTTTCCCTAAATAAAGTGAAGGAGGGGTATTAGCCCTGCCTCTTTTCGTAAACCAGAACAGGTATAGTATCCATTCAACACTGATTACTGGAATGCTCAGGACATTTGGGCATAAATGCTTCCAACTGGTGCCAAAGCAACTTCTCCCGGCAGAAAGCTGATTTCTGGGTAGACAAATTTTTGCTCAGGAACCTAAACTATGTGTGGAGGTCAACTCTCAGTCAACACTACTCTATGGGCAAGGCACTTTTGAGAGCCCCACAGTTTTGCTTGTGTCAGTGGAGAGGGGGAGTTCATTAGGTGGTCCCACCATTGACTCCTTAAACCTGCTTCTCATCTTAAAGATCCTCTTTCCCACCCACGTCAGGTAGAGAAGCCTCTGCTGCTTCCATCTAGCACTGAGACACCCCGCCCCCTCCAACACACTCACACACAAATCTCTGAATCACTGGTAACGATCTGCTGGTCACAATCACCCTATGAAGGTGACTGACTTCTATCTATCCATCAATGAGAACACGGTGACCCTCTTCGGGACTGAGGCTTTAAGTGAAACAAGTAGTACATGCACTGAAGTCCCTCCTTACTGGCTGTGGTGATGATTCTGTGTCACACCGCTGAGCTACTACTAAGGAACTCTGGAGGTACAATGGCTTAGTGCTTGGATGCTAACAGAAACGTTGGCAGTCTGAGCCGCCAGTGGCTCCATGCACAAAAAGACCTGGCAATCTTTTTCCATAAAGATTAGAGCCTCGGAAACCCCATGGGGCACATCTAGTCTAGCCTATGGGGTCACTGAGAGTCGAGACTGAGTCAACGGCACCCAACAATATAACCATTCCTTACTGACTTGCTAAACTGCTGTTCACGGCTCAGAGGTCTTCCAGGGGACGCATAGGAACTCAACATGCGCACGGTGGTCTTCATTTTCAAAGTTCTGAGCTGAAATGGGTAGTTATTTTAGGGACACTTAAGGTATGGAAAGGAGTCCTGGTATGGCAGTGTAGGATAAGCACTGGACTGCAAGGTTGGTTTGAACCACAAGGTCAGAAGTTCAAACCTATCAGCTGCTCCTCAGAAACCTAGATGGGGTCGCTGTGAGTTGGAACTGACTCAACGCAACTTAACACCACCATCACCACCACAGTGTGAAGGAACAGAGTGAAGTGGGGAAAGAACACAGGGTGATTAATAAATGCAAAAAAGAAATCTCAATAATTCAAAGAGTTGCTCTGCTTGTAAGCAAACCTCTCTTTTGCCAACTCAAAGGGTCAACTTTAGAAAACTTTGAGAGGCTTTGAAAGAATTTGTTGACATCTAATACTTCCCCAGGTGCAACAGGGTTAAGACACTTCAGAAGGCTCAAAACACTGCACACAAGTTGCCTCCCAGATTTGAAACCTCTCAAACCATAATTGTTTAGCAGTGTAACTTTTATATGTACAGAGAATTTTGTTTTTCCTGTACTAATCCATACAAGAGCTGATTCTTTCAGTGAATAATTCCCTCAGGTACCATCCATTCTGGTTTCATTACAGCCCATGGAGGAGGCTCTAAATATTTCCAGCCCTGAGCTCTGTGAATGCTCCTTGTTCTTTATAACCCTCCACACAAACAAGCCACTTAGGCTCTTGGTAAGCTGCTCGTAAGATTCATAGAGCAAAAGAGAAGAGCCGGTAAGGCCAGGAGCAGGGACTCCTCCAAGGACGGACAGGAACATGCTGGGACCCCCCCTGCGCTCCCCCCCCCCCCCCACGTTCCCACATCACTGTCTGTTCTGGGCCCGTAACAATGATATAGCCACCTACCTGCTCTAGCCACTTGATTTCTGCACCTGTAAAGCAGAGGCCATGGCATGGTTTGTTTTTCCTTGTCAAAACCATGCCTGGTGGCTAGGTATCTAGCAGTACTGATAAATAAAAAGGGCACAAGAGTGCCCTTACTTATACCATTTGATAAATATATACCAAAAGCACTTGGGGAAAATGATGAGCATAGTGAATCATCCAAAAAAATGCAGCTTTATATTATTACAGAAAATTAAGTACCTCACCTTGTTTTCCAGCACAAGAGAAGTCGTCGTAAGACAGAGTATCACATAGTCACACACCCAGCTGGCAAACCCTTCGTGTCTGCAGTTCCTCCCCCGGACACATTACAACATCAGCTTGACACATCTGTAAAACATCTTCCCCTGCAGAACTGCAGGCCTTAAAGATCAAACCCAGGGAGGCACCCTCACCCAGGTCAGCCATTCCATCTCATCCCCCTCTGAGAACACTTGTCAAGTCAGCACATCGGCAGGGCAGTGCCGCCTCAACAGTCAGGAGCCAGACTGCTGAGAGACCAAGCAGACAGGCAAGAGGAGGGGAACTTGGAGAAAAGCACTAACTTAGAATCAGACTCCACTAGGTATCACTGAGCGGCCAGGGAGTGCAGACACTGGCAAAGTGCCTTTCTGAGTGCAATTCAGGGTTCTTTCACTTTTCCCACTGGCTCTAGATTCTATTCAGCTATGGCTTTCCTGAAAAGTACAGGGTGCTGTGGCCAGGAAGACGGGGGATAAGCAGGACCTCCTGGTAAAGGATGGCTTTGAAGTCCGGACCTGCTAGACGCTTCGTTTTGGCCAGGGCGCCAGCAGAGTGGTCATGCCCTGGCAGGTTAGGGAGGTCATAGATCCTGTTCCCTGCCTCAGGGGCAGCCTTGAGGCCAAAGGACCTAGAAGAGTCCCATTTTTCAAAGGCAGTCTCAGCCAACTCTTGGGCAAGCTGTGTGGGTTGGAAGCTGCTTGGCCAAGTTTCCAAGGCGGGTGCCAACCGTGTGCATGATGAGCAAGAGAGGGCTTGGGGCCCTGGCCTGCTGTCTCCAGCACGTGGGCGGCTCACACACACATGTAAAAAGGGCAGGTAACCAACCAACCCCTCAAAAGCGATCATGGATTCATGGAGTTTTTGTTTTTATTTTTCCCCTTTCAGTCTGGTCTTCAGCTCCTGCATAGAGTTCTGCTTCCTATGGTTCTGAGAGGATGGTTCCATCGCAGATGACCAAAGGCTGGGGCCCTTTGGCTATAATGTAGACCTTCCAGTGGGTGGCATCAGCATAACCTTAAAGGGAAACAGCAACAGGAAAGCACGTTAAAGACAAGGAACACCTGTGGGCCAAAGCAGGGTGGGTCTGCTTGAGTCTGCCTCAGGAGCACCTATAGACGGGGCAAATCCTGAAGTTCTTCCAGCCCTTCCTGGCATAAACATTCCTTGTTAGTATCAATCCTTTCTGCAACCTAACAGCCAACAGGAGTCACTCTGAACTGGGACTCATACCTGAACCAGTTTGCAAAGGCAGGATGCTCTACGGAAGGCTGGGGCCGGGCATCCATTCTCAGACTACCCTTGTCTTTTTAGTAAGATGACAAGATGAATTACGAGGGGGGTCAGGACACCCCACTTTCCATTTTCCAGAGGTTCTCTCCTAATATAATTGCTTTACAGAATATCCAGATTAACCCAAATTCTGCTCTGCACACAGTGGTGTATCAGAAGAAAAATGTGGAAAATCTTGTAATAAAAGGGATTCCATGGCCAAGTAAATTTGAGAAATGCTAGGTTCTCCTTAAGGCTTTTTGGAGTCTGACAAACACTAATACACACAAAGCACCTACAAGGCAGGCATTTCTGAAATCAACCGACTCAAAAGCCCTGTTTGCCAAGGGATTTTCCAAGGGGCTTCTGGTTCCTAACGTAGGAGTCATGAGTAGTCTGAAGATCCACTGAGGGAACACTGACTTGTATCATTTTAGTGCGCTAGGAAGGCAAACCTGAAACTTAAAAACCTTAGCATTTCAATCATCTCCAGCAGATGGAAATTTCCCTACAGCACATCCTACTTCCCTACCAGTGACAACACTGAATGTCACTTGACCTTTACCAGTGACTCAAGGAACAGTCTCAGTGCTGTGCAATAGGTAGTGGGGAACAGGGCTATAGGCCTGTCAGCATCAGCCTCTGAGACCTGAGCCTTACTTACATTGTCCTGGAAAAAGCCAAAGGTTTCCTGATGATCAGCAATTCCTGTTCCCTCTCCTCTTAGCCCCACAGAACAAGGCACATTTCATCAAGAGACATGGAACTTGCTTGTCAGGTGCCATTTGTATGTGTCCCTGAGGCACTGGAGCTATCATGAGTTCTACAAGCATGGAATTGCTCCAGGACCCCCTCCCCATCCCCCAGCCTTGTCAGGGTCTGATCCCCTGTCCTCACTTTTAACAGCAGTAGCTGAGCCCCATCACTTCTCCAGACTCGCCCTCCTCCTCTTCAATTCAGTCTGCCATCTCTCCCAGTGCTCATGTCATGGGGCTGGCCTTTTACAGACACTGTAACCATGGGGCTCCTTTCCTTCTGCCAGCACATTGGTTGGTCGCAGCATGGAAAGGCTCCTCTTGTGGCTTTAGGCTCTTCTGGGCAATCTGTGCCAGTGCTGGCTGCTCAAAGCTTCCTTGATCATTGCCGAATATGTCTTCTTTACCCCTCCTTTTAGAACTGGCATTCTGGAAGCTCCTGGGAGCTGGTAATCTGGACTCTGTACCAGTGAGGTGTTTCTATAGTCTCTGCACCAACTAGGCATTTGTAGAACATAAGACGGGCACTTTTTTCCAACACCACTACACTCTCTCAACTGAAACATGCCATACAGAGTTTTGCAAGAGTCATTCCTCATGTTTGGGCCATCCTACTACAGGAAAACAGTTCAGAACAATTTCATTACAAGAATTCCCATTATCCCCCCACAAAGGCCAAGACAGCTGTTATTGCTTAATTTGGGCATTATTTATTCGCTAATGCTTAATTTGGGCATTCTTCCTCTTCTCGCATTTCAAACTTGAAAAAAGGTTTACAGAACTAGAATTGAAGCTTGGCATTGTTGGCAATTCACCCCCTATGCCTAAGTGGGTAAGAGGTTTGTTTCTAGGGATTTGGGGAGGGGTCAGAAGGTATCAGCTGGAAAAGCAATCTGGTCTCTGTCAGGGGTAGTAGGCCACCCTGAACTTCCGTGAGGCAGAAAAAACAAGGACAGCACTGGTGACATTTGCTGATTTATCTGTTTCAGCCAAGAAAACTGCTAGTCATCTGATTGCTACTGACAGCAGCTGATTCTAGTCTGTTTCTTTGGAACCGATCTTCAGAACATTAGACACACTGCTGGGAAATCATGGAGTCAGAGTCAAGACGGAGTGGTCAACACGAGGATGTAGGATTCACCTCGGAGGCAGCATTTCCCTGGGTACTGTGACTCCTACATACTTCCTGCCTGGTTTTATTGGCAAAATGGGCAATGACAGTTTGCTCTAACCTTGAACTGCGCCTTCCTTGGCTTGATTCTATGAAGTACACACACAAGACTGGCTGTCTTGCTTGACTGACAGCAGGGCCTTGGCATGGTCACTTTGCCTCTCTGGATCTCAGTTTCCTTACACAAGGTATCTGCAGGAAGTCTGTCTACCCTGAGATTTCTAGAACCAGTGGACAATGGCATTCAAAATGCTTGTACAAGAAATTTCTCCCTGCTACATTTTCTCCTTAGTTGCTCCTTTTGTAAGCAACATACTGATCCTGTTAATGAAAGGTGTTTTTGACTCTACTTCATTGAACATTTGGGGAGGCAGTGTTTGATGATCAGAATATTTTCTGAGTTAAGAAACTAAAAAGATCTCTGGTGGACCCTGCCCTCTGGGGCCCCACATACCGATATCCCCTGGCTGTAGCTGCAGCGCCATGGACTGGCAGTGTCTTCGGCAGTGGAAGGGAGGGATGAGCTGCAGCATGGCCTCGCCGCTGCAAATGGCAAACAGGTCATGCATCCGGTGCATCTATAGGAAAGAACAGTGGGAGGAAAAGGAAGGGAAAGACAACAAAACAAAACTCAGGGTGAGGGGGATTAGTACACAGAAATCCCTACACATGCAGCTCTGAGCCTTTTAGCAGCCAAGGTAAGTGGGCTGCAGAGGGGCGTGACCAGGTTCCTTGACTTCAGGATGGGAAGAAACAGACAACATGATGCAGCAGGCCCATACTAAAGCATGCTATTGTGTTCATGAGGTGGGTTATGCAGCCCTTCATTTCTTCTCCAGGACCGACCTCCCTGGCCCACTTCCTAGCTTATATCCTAAGGCTTGGATATGGGGTTCACAAACATGTGACTTTCCAGGGACCCCAGCCAGGAAAGTGAACAGCAAGGTGGGGTAACAAGGCAGGGAAAAAGGAGAGTTTGGGCCAAGGTGGGCTAAAAGAAGCTCCAAGAAACCAGACTTTCAGGATTTTTGCTCTTTTGGGACACTCCCCTTCCTTTGGGAACACAGAAGAAAGGGGATTAGAATATAAAGCCTTGGTGACAGAAATAATGCTGGAGATAGCGTGACAGAATTTTGCAAGACCAATGACTTACTCATTGCAAAAAAACCCTTTTACAACAACACACACAGCAACTATTAAGTATGGACCTTGCCAGACAGAATTCACAGGAATTAAACCAACTACATTTGTGAAAAGAGACAATGAAGAAGCTCAAATCAACAGAACAAAGCCAGGGACCAACTGTGGAACACACCACCAATTGCTCATATGCAAATTCAAGTAGAAGGTAAATAAAACTACAACAAATCCAAGAGAACCAAAACATGACCTTGAGTAGAACCCACCTAAATTTAGGGACCATCTCGAGAACAGATTTGATACATTAAACACTAATATGTAGGATGACATCAAAGAGATCAAGAAAGCAGCAAAAGATCATAAAAAAGTCAGAAAAGAAAAAAGACCAATGTAGATGTCATAAGAAACTCTGAAACTTGCTTTTTTAAACACAGAGTAGGTAAAGTGAAAGAAGAAATGATGATGGAAAAGAGCTGAATGGAAGACTTCAAAGGGTATCTCAAGAAGACAAAGTATTACAACAAAATGTGCAAAGACCTGAAGTTAGAAAACCAAAAGGGAAGAGCATGCTTGACATTTCTTAAGTTGAAAAAAAAATGAAGAAAATTCAAGTCTTGAGTTACAATACCAAACAATATTGTTCAATATGGGTAGAATATTGAATAACTCAAAACGCATCAAAAGAAGATAAGAAAAACATATAATCACTGTACCAACAAGAATTGGTTCATGATCAACCATTTCAGGGGTTAGCATATGATCAGTAGCTACAACACACTGTGAGGACGGCATATGACCAGGTACTGTTCCGTTCTATTGTACATGGGGGCTATTATGAGTTGGAACCAACTCAACAGCACCTAACAACCCCTCCCCCAAACATCCTTGAGATAGCCACAAGATGATTGCCTTTCATAGATATCTAACTTTGTGTTTATCCCTGTGGCCAGGCTCCTTGGTGTCCCTATTAAGCAGACTGGTGAGATAAACTCCAGTATTCAAGTGGGAGCACCAAGATCAAGATAAAGGCCCTCGCCCAGAATTACATCATAATTATGATGATGAAATCCTGCTAGCGCCTTGAGTTCTAGTTGGGGACAGCAGGATAAGCTCCTTTACTGTCTGAGGCAAGAGCCCAGCACCTCCACCCCACTGTTGGCAGACAGTTCTTACTTCTAGACAAAATGCTTGTTTTTATAGGCTTATAAATTCCTTTAACACAATTCAGCAAAATTGGAGCCAAACAAAATTATCAAGAGGTTGAAGCTACAACCCGGAGTTGGTAGGGGTCACAGTTCAGGAAATAAACATTTTCTATAAAGAAAAATTCATCCTTTCAATTTTTCAAAAACAATCCATTCTCAAAACACCTTCCTGAAGAATATGATTCAATGAAGGAGCATTTTAGGGAGAAGTAAACAAACAGAGAAAAGTAAAGATAGTTAAACACAAAAGAGAGTCCATCAGTGTGCCCACCCCCACAGAGACCTGTAGGCTCTAGTGTATTCCTGTGGTACCTCCTCTTAGTACACACCGAGATGGGAAGTGTTGGGGGCAGAGTGTGCTGCCTGCCTCAGGCATGTGCCTATCAATACTTCTGTCCCAAATTCTCCCCACGCTCCCAAGCTTTGTACCTTTCCACTTCTCTACCTGAAGTACCTTCATTTGTTTGTTCTGGGGAAAGCCAAGCTGGGGGTGAGGAGTGGAGGGGAGCCCTCTAATTGACTTACTCTGTGTCCTTGGACTCTGTTGTTTAAAATACACAATGAAGAAAGTGGACTGTTCACTTACATACTACTATTCATGGATAGCTTGCTTACTTCCTAAAATCATTTGAGGCAGGCAGGTTTAGACTAACAACTCTCAAGTCCCTCCAAACTTTAACATTCCACTTCCTCTAATGTAGAACAATCCTTTGCCCCCTGGTATGAAAGGCAGGAAGTAGATCTGGACGGTAACTAGACCTTCTGCAGATACACTTTGATAAAAACGTAGTCCGCTGCATCTTCTGGATAGCAGCAGTAGGGGACTTTTGGTTTATGTGGGTGCCCCTCAAGTCACTCTCTAAGTCAATATGCAGGGGAGGCCTTGAATATGACATCAGCCCAGGTCCCAAATAAGGAACATTCTAGATCCAATTTCTCTGAAAATTTCCTACCTTACTCCCCACAACAGGTTCCGGGTGAAGAAGGAAGCATTTTTTCAAGGAGGCCTCTTTTGGAAATGGTAGAAAGGTGAAAGCAGGAAAAAGTTCATGTAAAATTTGTGATCTATTCCGAGGCCTTCTCCTGTAAAAGTTGGAAACAGAAAACAGTAATTAGGCTGGGCCAGCCAGCCTATTCTATGACTTACAGAGAGCCAAACCAGGTCCGAAAGATGGGGCTGGTGGGGAGAGAGGAGAAAACGAAGTAGAGATTCCTAAGTACTAGATTCATGAAGAATACTCACTGCCATCAAGTCCATTCCAACTCAGAGTTAACTGTCCTACAGGGTTTCCCAGACTGGAAATCCTTATGGGAGCAGACTGCCAAATCTTTCTACCATAGCACAGTGGCGGTTTCAAACTGTCAACCTTTCAGTTAGCAGTCCAGCACTTTAACCACTGTACCACCAGGACTCCCTCTATGAAGAACAGTCATGCCAACCACTTATTAACTGCAAGGTGTACAGGCACACACATAAACTCTACAGCCACCAGTGGTACATCTGGCTGGGATGTTTATACAGCCCAGCTAAAGCAGCATGGATGGGAAGGAAGCAATCGATTCACTCTGTCTTGAAAAAGAGACTGAGGAAACAGGTTAGGACGAGAAAAGAAAGAAGAGGGGATAAAAATTTGAACCTTCTTCTGAAAAAGAGTGGTATGCAGGTAATGGGGGCTCTGGTTAGCTTGTTAAACTGGGTTTCTATCATGTCAATAAAACAGAAAATTTAAAAACAGAAGCATCAAAAAATTATCAGTAAATTCCAACAAAAGTCTAAGAAGGATTTTCTCTTTCTAGAATGGCTGTAGATGGAAACCACTTTCCTTTCTAGAGAACAACGTTGACTCCAAGGAACAGACTATGCCTTCTATACAACTCAAGAAGGAACAATGAGATCTGGCTTTCAGTCTTGGCTGGGTAACCATGGGCAAGTTACTTGACCTCTCTGATTCTCACTTTTCTGATCTGAAAGATGACAATGATAAGGCCTACTCCCCAGAGTTATAATGGACATCACCCATGGGGAACAGGCATTTCGCACCAAGGCACACTACCTAGTGCAAACAAGCGTCAGAAAAGTAGTTTTCTTTCTATTTGTTTTGTTCTCTCTTTACTCCCCCCAGTTGTGCATAAATAGAAATGCTAAATACATAGTTAGATATAAATTATGACTCAATAAGGCAATCCTGGTGTCTGCCCTTGGCGACCTAGCCCACCCCTCCTCCTGACAGGCCTTTTCCATTCACCTCCTTTATGTTCTTTGGTTTTCAACAGTGAGCTCCTGAGGATCACGGAACTTGATGTGTGTATTATTCAGTGCTTACAGTGTTGAGCGCAATAGTAGTCGTAGCTACTGTGTCAACATTTTGTCTGCCCTCTTTCAAAGGGGCTCTTAAAAGCCTCTTTCCACACTCACCATGGATAAGGAAATGGGAACCACCGATCAGGAAAGCAGCGCCACCACTTAGTGAAAAACCCTTCAATGAAGCCTTCTGCTGCCTCAGGGTAGCGACACAAAAACTGCTGAAGTCGCTCGGAAGACAGGGTCTGTTCCGTCTTGGTAAAGCAGGAAACAAATCAACACAGTTAGTAGTCAGACATTTCAGAGAGCTTGATGTCATCTAGACTTTAAACAGGTGATCAAACAGTGGTGCTGACCTTGATCACCAGAGGATGGAGCCGCTCCAATTTCTCAGGGGCATCTTCCAGCAGCATTACCTGGAGGGGTAATTTCTGGGTACAACCAGTGCAGTTGGCAGGGATGGGGTCCGACTCATTCCGCTCACACTCATTTGTTGACCAGGGATCAAAGTCTAGGAGAGGAAGTCAAATGGAGAAAGTAGATATAGTAAGAGCACAGATTATAAATCCAGGAGCTTTGTTAGGGTAAGGAAACAGGAGGAAAACTACTGAGGAAAAGTACTGGGTCAGCGGAAAAGCAGCACTGGGGAAAGATCAGCAGAAGCAAAATGAACCTCCAAATACAAAGAATACAGGGGCAGAATGTGGACAAGCAGGATCTAAACAAAATAAAACAGAAAAACTATCTCCTTGTGTGTCCAGAACCCAGCGGGACTTATGAGTCCTCTCTTCCCTATTCAACAACCCACTGGGGATTATTAACCATCATCTATCCATTAACCTCCCCCCATAACAGTTTTCAGCACAGACACAAAACCGGTTATGTTGAGTATCCCAGGTGCCTCTGCAACGGAATCCATCTTGAAGTCCTAGATTTCATCAAGGACACGAGATGCATGGGAAAAAAGAGAGGTAGAAGTGACACACGAGAGCGGAACTCCACAAACAGAAAATAAGACCTCCTTTTTGAAACTGAAACAACTATCAGTATAGGAAAAAACCTCTCCCTATAGATACATGTAAGGTGCTCTGGTAGCGTAGTGGTTACGAGTCAGGCTGCCAACCTCAAGGTCAGCAGTTCGAAACGACCAGCGGTTCCACATGAGAAAGATGAGGCTTTCTGCTCCCGTAAAGATTTACAGCCTCGGAAACCCTGTGCAGGGTCACTATGAGTCGACAATGACTCCACGATACCTAACAACAACAACAGATACATGTGGAGTCCTGGTGTGGTGGGTTAATGTGCTGGACTGCAAAGTCATTTGAAGTGCAACATCATTGGTTCAAGCTCACCAGCCGCTCCTCAGAAACCTTACACAGGGTCGCTATGGGTCAGAACTGACTCGATGGCACCTAAGAGCAACAACAACAGATACTTGTCAGGCTGTGAGCGTGTGAGATGATGCTGCCTTTGGCACTGCTCCCCTGCAGGTATTCTTTGCCTTTATAGTCTTCTGTAGCCCAACCCGGTAACAATTTCTACAATGAAAGCAGAAAAGATATGACTGCAATTAAAAAAAAAAAAAATTAACAAGGATAAGCGCTGGTGATCTCAGGAAACAAGCTGCCTTTGAGGAGGAGAGCAGAGGGCCCAGGGGAGAGGGATGGGAATAAGAGATGTTTTTCTCTGTGTACACTTCTATACTTTATGTTTTTAAACATGTGCGTGGAGTCCCTAAATCAAATAAACAAATCAAGAATAACATTTGGAAAAACCACGTAAAAACATGAGGTCCGAGGTGCAGCTCTTCCTGTTTTCTGACCTGTGACCCAGACATGTGAAATGCTTATAGCACATGGGGGTGGGGCAGTTAGAAAGGGTGGTCCTGCAATCACTGCGAGCCTCATGGTGTGTCTTCTCCCACACTCTGGGTGTGCCTAGACCCTTGGCTCAGAAGTCCACCAAAGGAGGCCAGGACAGCTCTGAGGAGGAAAAGTGAGAAGAGGGTACAGAGAAAGACAGAGAGACAGAGAGAAGGGATGGAAAAGAAAGACCTGACTTTCCAGATACCCATCTTTGGAGTAAAGAGTCCTCGTAGTGTAGTACTTATACATTAGGCTTCTAACCAGAAGGCCAGCAGTTCAAATCTACCAGCCGCTCCATGGGAGAAAGATGAAGCTTTCTGCTTCCATAAACATTTACAGCCTGGGAAACCCTATACAGGGTCGCTATGAGTCGGGATGGACTCAAGGGCACGCCACCACCACCATCTGTGGGGTACAGTGAATTGCATCTGTCCTAATTCCACAGCAGGTAGGGACCACAAATGATCATAAATGGATGACTATCCCACCTACATTCTGATGGGGCTGCCTGCTGTCACCCTGACACTTTCCCCTGGGTTGGCTCTTCTCTGAGGGGTTCCTCTGATTCTACACCTCCCTTCCCAGTTTCCCTTGGACCCTATCCTTATCTCACTTATGTTATTGCACTAGTCCTTATTTACTTTCTGCTCCATTCTGTGTTGCATCTGTGTTCTCTGAGAGATGTGTTTGTGTTAAAGTAGAATTTGAATACAAAATGTTTCACAAGATGGTCTCTGATTAAAGCCCAATGGAAATCAAAGCAGGAGAGAGCCTACAACAAAACACAACAGGCAACCAAATGTGGCTTTAATGAAGTCAAGTCATAAAATCAATAAACACAGTTGGAAGCTGACCCAAGCACAAACAGTTTTCTGTATTGTTGTAGGCAACACAGGCAACTTCATTCTTGTTTTCTTTAAGGCAGTACCAGTGGGGCTTACTAGTCAGGCTTAGGACTCCTGGTGTGGTACTTTAACATCAGCACTTGACTACGAACCACAAGGTCGGCAGTTCAAACTCATCAGCTGCTCCTCGGAAACCCTATACAGGGTCACTACGAGTAGGAACTGACTCAACAGCACTTAACAACAACAACAACAACCGTGTGGCCTAAGAAATCCTCAGTAGGGAAGGACCTTCTCTTGAACACCCTCTAAGCCCTTCTCAGTCATGATCCCAGACCAATGGCCACACCCCTCCCCTGGGTAGGGGCCTCTCCCCCCACATGCTCACCAAGAGCCCCCAGGGCTGGCCACAAACCCTTCAGAGGTACCTGTTTCAGTGGTACCTGGAGACTGCAATATTAATCCATGTCTCTTCTTCTGGGATGTTTTTAAAATGTTCCTTATTAGGGGTCAAATCTGATGAATTATGATTACCAAAAGACAAGAACTCTAACTAATGGACACACAATGAGGCATAAATAATTGTAACAACATGTGTGACAATTACATAGCACTTCAGCCTCCACAAGACTTGTAAGGGAAGGAGAAGGAAAACGAATGTATGAAGTGCCAGGCCCTGTGCTGGCCATATTCGTATGCCAGCATTGGATTTGCACCATGAAACTGTTGGCAGACACCAGCATTCTCACTTTACAGATGAGGAGGAGAGGGAAAGCTAATGAGGCACCAGGGTGAGGTGGGAAAAGCACCGAGGATGCCAGTTGAGCATGGAGTGTAGCTGGAAGACCGTGAGAAGGGCCTCTGGGGCTAGGAGCAGGTCTGACTCAACAAGAGGAAAACTTGGAGCCACCAGAGGCCTATGAGCAGGGGTTTCCTGGTGCTCTAATAGAACAGAAATATCTCACGTGGGTGACTCTGACAACCATAAATTTACTCTCTCCATTTAGGAGGCTAAAATTCCAAATTCAGGAGAAGGCTGTCTCTTTGTCAGCTCTGGGAAAGGTCTCTGTCTCCTTTCAGCATCTGTACATCTCCATACATCTTGGCATTAATCTTCCCCTGAATCTAGGAGCTTCACAGAGCAGGGACCCCAGCTCCAAAGGAGGCACTTTCTCCTGGTTCTTCTATCTTGTAGAATGGAGTTGATCCCTCAGAGCTCTGCTCTGCTCACTTTTCTCTCTTTGTATGTCACAAAAGAGATGGACTCAAGCTACAAACTAATCCTGTAGATCGCATCTGGCCTCATCAACATCACAGAAGCAACCATTTATAATACATAGCATAATGACATCAGATCAGAGCTAATCACAACGGACCGCATCATTGGGGTTATCGCATCATATGAGATCTAAACATGGAGATGACAACTACATCTTTAACTGCTACCCCACTGAGAATCCTGGCCCAGCCAAGGTGACACAAAACCCTATCATATCTAAGGAGATTATTCTTGATTGTGTCAAGGGAGTTCTACAAGAGAGGGGCTGGGAAGAAGACTGGCTTTATTTTGGTTTTGCTTCTCAAAGGTCACAGCCTTGAAAACCTTACAGAAGAGTTGTACTTTGCACATGTGGGGTCATCATGAGTCAGAATCAACTCGATGGCAACTAACAACAACAATGTGTCACCTCTATCAATTAAGGAGTCCAAACTTTAAGAGGAAGAGCTACTGCTGATTTCTCTGTAGCTTTGAGATCACCAATGGGGATAAAGAGGGGAGTAAACAATGAGCTCTTCCTACCCTTTCCACAGAATCCCAGCAGCAGAGGAGGAAGGTATGGTCAGACTCTAGCATGGCATCTGCCTGCCTGGGAAGTCACACATGGTATGCTCGCTATGTAATGGCTTACAACTGAAATGCCTCAAAAGTGAGCAAATTCCCACTCTGGAAACAGCTAACAGTATGCAGGCAGATTGTCCTATGCCACTGCTAGTTCATAACTCTACTTCCTTCAAGGATGCTGCAGCTCCTTACAAAAGGGCTATCCCCTTTTCCACAGCACTATGCAGAAAGGTCGATGGAAGCTAAATGACTTTAATTAACGTTATCTTTCATTTTAATTATCAAGGCTTCTTGATTCCTGTGACCAGATCTGTTGTTGTCAAGCTGATTCTGACCCCTAGTGACCCTACAGGACAGGGTAGAACTACCCCCTGGCTTTTCCAAGGCTGTAATCTTTACAGAAGCAGACTGCCACATCTTTCTCCCTCAGAGCAGCTAGTGGGTTTGAACCTATGACCTTCCAGTTAGCAGTCACCAGGGCTCCTCAGTGCTTAACTGCTCTCCTTGATATAAGAAAGGCTGTGACAGAGAAGACAAACTCCATACATAGAGATAACTGAAGTCTATGGTCTGTATTCCAAATACTCATCACAGTTTGGAATTCATTTCACTGTTGGAGATGTCAAAAACAATCTCTCAGACACAACACAGTCTGAAGTCAGGTCTGCAAGTTGGGCACTTGACAGAACAACCAGAGCAGTCCAAGGCCGGACAGGCAGGAGGCTCTCTGGGGCCCGACGGTTGTTTACAAAGAAAACTCACTTAGGTCAGCCCGTGTGGGCAATCGTAACACAGCCCGGATTCTGTGTGAGGAATGTTCTTTAATGCAGTTTACTAAACTGGCAAAAAGCCATACACACACACAAAATGGATCTTTCCAGGATCAAAACAAAACCTTTTGGATAGAAGGACAGAAAGAAAGGCCCAAAGTCACTACTAGCTCCGCAAAAACAGGGTT